CTCCCATGCACAAAATTCAAATCACAAATAATACTACTGATGAAAAAGAACGGGTTGAATGTTAACTAATTTCGTAAATTAAACTACAATAAAAGTTAATCAGCATGCATTGATTAATAGCATGTTGTAGCACAAAAAATAAATAAATAAAAATAATAAACCGTGCTCGTGCAACCAACTGAGAAAGTTAATCGCAAAAGAGCGACCAGTGGGAAGAATGAGTCTGGAGCCCTGAATTGCCCAGCTCCCTCTATCACTCAGCACCTGCGTTCAAAATTCTCTGGAGCCGCCCCTGGTACATCGATGTATTTTTGAAACGCAAAAATTAAGTTTTTCCAACTCTAAACCCAGTCCCCAAGTAAATTAGGTTATTAAATAAAAAACTAGCAAAACAAGTTGCGCGGTGTCCCCACCACTTTTCAAAGCAAAGTTACGCCACTGAGTATATATATATACTAAAATGTATTTGAAATACATTTATCTTTCTTAGTGTGAAGATCACTTTAGTAATCTGAATAAACTTTTTCCATTAAATACCTTTTAGGGAAAGATTCCATGGATGTTAAAGATTTTTCATGGAACCAAAGATGCCAATAAAGAACCTTTATTTTTAAGAGTGAAGAATATAACTTATAAAGACATGTTTATTATTTATTTATTTTTTTAGCATTCTTAAAAATAAAGGTTCCAAAGGGGCGGTTTCGCAGTGATGTCATAGAAGAACCATTTTTGGTTCCCCAAAGAAACTTTCAGTGAACGGTTCTTGAAAGAACAATTTTTTCTCAGTGTAAAGAATATTTAATTCATCTAAATAACTTTTTTGGACTTTTCTGAACCTTTTGTGGAATGGAAAGTGGATGTTAAAGGGTTTTTCATGGAACCATAAATGGAAATAAAGAACCTTTATTTGTAAGAGTGTGTGTTCAGATGTCCTCATACTTCAGAGATCCATGCATACACACTTTTACACTTGCAGAATTAAACAACCTTTAAAAAATCATGGTAATAAGAAACAAATAATTTCTTGTTATCTCTCCAGGATAATGTGAAACCAGTAGAAGAAGGGAGTAACCCGAAACCTGATGGTAATGCAAAAACTGTAGCACACATGTGTTCAGGCTTTAAAGATTCATCTCACAACAACACGGGTAAGAAATGCAACTAGTACAAAGTTCTGTCATGAAACTCTAGATTGCACAGGTCGATAGATTGCAGTGTGCACCAGAAACCCCCCACCTTCCCCAGCTCCACCTGTATAGATCTGCTACGGGATAATTTCATGTATGCTATATATAAAGAGTCATGTCATATATGTTATATGTGCAGCAGTATTATAGCAGTTATATAATATAGCAGTATTATAGCAGTTATATGTGCAGTAGCAGTATTTCCTACATGCTCACAGCAGCATGTCTGTTGATGTATAGTCTCGGTACTGGCTCTGCCACAGCAGCAGCAACAGTGTAGCAGATCTATTCATTAACATTGTCATGTATACTACCATGCTAAACTCTCTGAGAGTTGTCATGACAAAACTGTATCAATAAGAAGCACTATTTCATTAACATATATTATGTTGTGTTCTTGATTTTAGATCATGGTGATCCCGATTTGACCATTGCAGTGTTCGGAAGCTCTGATGCTGTCCAGTTTGGATGTGACAACATTCTACTAGGAGAGAAACAACTCTGTCATAAAAATGCAGAATTTCCAAAAATCATTCAAGAGAGGAAGATATCAGAACATTGTGTCTCAGTGATCAACATGATTGGCTCACATGAGACTGATTTCAAACCTCTCGATCATGTTATTGGTCAGCTAGTGAATGAAAATGAAATCCATGCATTCATCTTTGTTGTGCGACTGGGCCAGTTAACAGATGCTGATAAGATGGGTGTTGAATGGCTACAGAGAATATTCTCTGATCGAGTTCTTTCATTTGTGATTATTGTCTTCACCTATGAGAGAAAGGAAGAGTGTGATACTATAATAGATGACCTGAAGAGCAACTCTGTTCTGGAGCAGCTGCTGAAAAAATGTGGAGAAAGATATCACACCTGCAGCAAGGACATGAACAACCAATCAGAGATGAGAGAATTGATGGACAGAATCAAGCGTCTGTTCACAGACAATAATCAGCAGTGCTACACCAGAGAGATGTACACAACTTTAAGAGACCTGCAAGACAGCGAATATCAAAGTGGTGGAACATATCAAATCACAGCTTGTATGTTCATTTTATGACTTACATTTACCACAACTCCATTTCAACTTTTAATTTTAATTCAGTATTCAAAAATAATACTGCAATTCAAGATTACAAATATTATAAATAGATTCAAATATTATAAATATTATGGAAGTTGTTTGTGGAATTTTGCCTCTACATTTTTTTTTTAATTTATCATGATCTCATTAGTATTTGTAGGTATTTGTAAGTGTGGTTCAAGTGCACACCCTTGCCCAGCCCCTGCCCACTCTTCATATATTGTTAAAAAATATCATGTATTAATATCATGCATTACAAAACACTCAAAAAAAAGCTGCATGTGTCTGTCAACAAATTGTCAGCAATGAAGACGCTGAATTAAATTTCACAAACCTTAAATACACAAAACAGACATCACTGAAAGTAATGATAGCTTCAGTTCAGTGAGTCAGATATTGATTCTGAAAAATAGTTGCTTAGTCCTATTAAACAGATTGACTTCTGGTAATAAAAAAGTGGATAAAAATGTATTCTTTTTAATTGAGTTTAATACATTTTAATCAGAAAAGAAATCTTTGATCTCCAAAATACTTAAAGATCATTAACCTTCATTTTGATGTATCCTAATGATATTTAACACATTTGTCATGTTGTAAGTCTTGACTGAATGTACAGTATTGTGAATCGATAAAATGTAAGTCACACTGAATGTTTTTGAATTAGCAAAATAATCTGCACACAAGATGCATTTGTACTTGAATCTAAAGTTTGGGCATACTGCTAATAATGTTAATTCTCTTAAAATAACTGCTAATAAATATTTTCCTCTTTTTTCATAAAATCAAGGTGCAGAAACAGTAAGCATTGGTGACACTAATGCACAGACTTTGGGAAGCCTGGTCCAAACTGATAAAGCAGATAAAGAAAAGGTAAGAACTTACATGCATAATTAACAGGCCTATTTTTTTCAGAGCGTTATTCATATTTTAACTGGCAATTCCAACATTGATCTCAAAGGTATTCATATGTATTTTTATTTTTGAATGCGGTTATGTTTGCATAGACTTCAAAAATGTGCATAGCATCTAAAAAAATAATTTGCGTAGGCTATAAACAACTTAGAGAGGTACAAAAATGAAGTGAATTGAATCTATAAATATTGAATATATATTAATTAATGTAATTAATCAGTGGATGTGTGATGTTTCAGTGATGTTTTATTTTTATCGGAAATGAGGCGATGTGAACATCACGGACCTCTCAACAATCCCATGCAGTGCATGTTTCATTCATAATCGAAGCCAGAGGGCGCTCTCGCGCAGAAAGTCCAAGACGGACTCATAGAAGTAATAACTAAGCAACCAGCAGTCGCTGTATCTAAGCTAAATAAAAAGCAGAAACGTTTGGACTAATGAAGCGTGAAGACATTAAAACACACGATTGCGACAATATATGGTTTTATGTGTGTTTTTCAAGTCATCTCCAGGTAATAAATAAAGTATATGAATAATGCAGCGCTAATTGACACAGCATTTATTACAGTATATTCTGCCTTATTCTGTGATAAAAATGGAAAAAGTGTTTGTAGTATATAAACAAATCATAAAATTGTCATTAGGAAAATATATTTTTCAAATATATTTATGATATAATAGAGTTGATGTTTCTACAGTTGTATATAAATAATAATGTTTTGTTTTAGATGCTGTCAGCGTCTGTTTAAATGTACAATTATGTAGGTTACGCAAATGTTACATATAGATACATGTAACAGTGAGATCAGGGAGCATATTCATTTTTGTTGTATGTATTAAAAGTGTACAAATTAACATTCTTTTCAACTACCCTATTTTATGGTACTGTATTTTTCAGCTAGGTGCAGAGCAACTCATTGACAGGCTTCATCTTGGAGGCAGACTGAGAACTGTAGATTTCCTTAAGCCAACTGTACAATCACAGTCCCAAGAGTCTTGTGCAGAAGAGGAGTTGGCTTCAGTTTTTCTACAGAAATTGATGATGATGGACTACAGAGCAAGATACCTTCAGATTATAGAGAATAATAAACCTCACTCACAACAAAGGAACAATGAATCATCTGAAGATGATGGTGATGCCTTTGATAATATTTTTGGAGAAACTGCTAAACCCTCTGATGAAACAGATGCAGTCCATTTAATGGATGTTCAGATGGCTGTGTTTCATTGTGCTGATAGTTTCCTAAAGCAGCTCATGGTGACTAAACTCTCACAGTGTCAGTATGCTCTGCCTCTTCTTGTACCAAATCCATTCACACAACAGATTGAGTTCCCACTCTGGACATTTAGACAAATCAACAAGAGCTGGAAGACAACTGATGATACAGGTAAAATCTCTAGCAAAGTCCTGCCAGTCTACAAGGCAGAAACCCCAATGGTGGCTTTCTTCAGGTTTGGCCAAGTGTCCTCATCCAAGTCTCAACTAATGAACAGCCTGATCAATGAGAAACACAACACATTCTTCCACAGGAACTGCCCAGGCAGCAGCAGAACCAGAGTGTTGATGGATGGAGTGGTGGAGATCGCCTGGTACTGTCCATCTGGAGAGGAAACAGACAGATTTACTCATTTTGTTGCGTTCTGTAACCTCCATGGTGATGCAGGAGCCCATGAAACGCAGCTGGATATCCTGACTGAAATGGCCTCTGTAAATGTTGCTATTTTACCACAACTTGACAAGAAAGACAAAAGCATGAGCAAGATCCAAACCTTCTACAAGGACTCAAAGCCACTCATCTGCCTTCTTACTGACAATGATTCAACTCTCACAGAAATGCGGGAAGGGAAATATAAAATTGGTTTAAAAGGCAGAAATCAGTCAGTTGTATTTGAAGAAATCAGAAGAGCTATAAATAATGGGCTCTTGTCTACTGAATCATGTTCCCTTTTCAAACTTGAAGATGTGCCCAAATGTTCTGATATCAGAGTAGATGAGGTTGATGATGATGACTGCAGGAAAGGAAAAGAGGCAGCACAGCAGATGATAAGTTTACTGGAGAATAAAGATCTGACTAAAATCAAAGAATCATTTCTGCCATTGCAGGGAAAACTGTGGCATCAATGGTGCCAGAAGAATAAAGAACTTCATCGACCTACATTAGGAGAACTACATAAGGGAACCAACATAGAAAAGAACAATTGTTCTAAGCAATCAGAAATGCTAAATATTCGTGAGCAGCAACGAACACCTGTCTTAAGTCAGTTTATCCAACTCTTTATTCAAAAACTGAATTCACAAGCAGGAAATGAGGTGGCATATTTTCTGAAATGGCTGGGCATCCTGCTAGACAACTACACTACTGAAAGCCTTTCAGCTCTTCTTCATGAGTATGATGAAAAATGGTCAACAGTCCTAAATCTTAAAAAGAAACATGATAAATCACAGCAAATGACTGCTGCACAAGTTGAACTTGAGAGAGTATCTGAAAAACTACAAGCTGCAACCTTTGGCTTGGAGCACATACTGAGAGAGATCGGTCAGATATATGAATCATGTTCATCTGTGAAGAAAAGCAAAAAAGACCTCCAGTTTAACTTCTCTTCTCTTCCAAGTCTTGCAGCAGATATGATGATTTCTGGATTTCCACTGGAGCTGATGGATGGCGATGCTGCCCATGTTCCCCTGATCTGGGTTACTGCTGTTCTTGATGCACTCATCCAGAAACTGGGAGACAAGAGAGTCTATGTGTTGTCAGTTTTAGGGATTCAGAGCTCCGGGAAATCCACCATGCTGAACGCCATGTTTGGACTGCAATTTGCCGTCAGTGCTGGCAGGTGCACCAGAGGAGCTTTCATGCAGCTGCTCAGAGTGTCGTCGGAGATGAACGCACTGCTAAATTTTGACTACATTCTGGTCATTGATACTGAAGGACTTCGTGCCCTAGAACTGGCCGGACGATCAACAAGAAATCACGATAATGAAATGGCCACATTTGTTGTTGGTCTTGGAAATATGACATTGATCAACATCTTTGGAGAAAATACCGCTGAGATGCAGGACATTCTTCAGATTGTTGTTCAGGCCTTCATGAGGATGAAGAAGGTCAGACTGAGTCCAAGCTGCATGTTTGTGCATCAGAATGTTTCAGATGTTACAGCTGGAGAGAAAAACATGGAGGGAAGGAGACGACTGCAGGAGAAACTGGATGAGATGACTAAACTTGCTGCTAAAGAGGAAGACTGTGATACAGAGTTTTTCAGTGATGTCATTGCATTTGACGTTCAGAAAGATGTGAAGTATTTTGCACAGCTCTGGGAAGGCAGTCCACCGATGGCACCACCAAACCCAAACTACAGCAGAAATATTCAGGAGCTGAAGGACACCATTCAATCTAAAGCTTCCAAATCTAGAGGCATTACAATGTCACAGTTTAAAATGCGTATTAATGATCTGTGGAATGCACTGCTAAATGAAAACTTTGTGTTCAGCTTCAAAAACACTCTTGAGATTGCGGTATACAGAAAACTAGAAACTAAGTACAGCGACTGGACGTGGAGCCTCAGAAGTGCCAAGAACGACATTGAAGACAAATTTTACAACAGAATTGCTAATGGAAACATTAGGGTTCAGGAAAATGACTTGTTGGCTGACATGAGGAATACAAAGGAGCAGGTAGAAAAATCAATCATGTCTTACTTTGAGGAGGACAAAGACAAAGACATTCTGTGTCAGTGGCGAGGAAGATTTGAAACCAGAATCAAAGATCTTCATGATGACCTTGTGAAGGGAACAAAAAGAAAGTTGGATGAAGCAATTGAACAGAAAAAAGCCAGGGAGCAGCTGGATCAAAGAAGGACAGAATATGAAAACAAGCTTTTCATTCGGAGCAAGGAACTAGCTTTGAGACTGAAACATACAGGAACAGATGAACATATGCTTGAGGAGGAGTTTGACACAATGTGGAGTAAATGGGTCACAGAAATGACCAAAGAGACATCTCCACTGACAGACATTAACTTTTGGGAGGATGTGACACGGATATTATCTGAAATCCATGAACTGACTCTTGTAGATGAGCGCTTAAAACAAAAAGACTACAAACGGATAGACCGCCGGAGTGATTATTGTGACTACTTGATGTTAAAGAAGCATCTGGAGCATTCTGATGAAACATCATCTTCAGCGGAAGCTGCCGAGAGCTCTAAGAAAAGCAAGACTGGGATGTTCAATAGATTCGGTCAAAAAATTATGTCAGGCATAGAATATTTAAGGGGGACTCAAAAGCCAAAAGAGAACATGGGCATAAATGCTGAATTTCATTACTCAATAAGGGATCTGACTCACAAAATTATTCAGGACACTGAAATGATAATGAAGAAGTCACCAGTTGGAACACGAGGCTACAATGACAGTTTTGTTCAGGAAATAACAGATTGTGTTAAAAAATCAGTACAGAAACATCAATCCGTGAGCCAAGAATACAAATTGAAAAGGGAATTTATCATAGATCTGAGTCTCCACGTGTGTGAGATTGCAAGACAGACTTTTACTGAACTCCACAAAGAATTCAGAGAAGCAAATGACCCAAGACTTTATCTTGATAAGCAGAAAACTCAGTACTGGAACATCTTCAAGAACTACTACAAAGGAGCAACAACAACAACCATACTGAGTGAATTCATCTGCAGCAAACTTGAACCATCTATCCTACAAGCAGTTTACAACAAAACTGCTAATGATTTGGCCACACAGATGAGGTCTGACATAAAAGCTTTACGTGAGAACAGACCAAATCTGGAGAAACACATTCTGAGATCCCTTGCAGAAAAGGAGGACTTTGAACAGTACATCGAATACATTCATAATCCCAGAAGACACTTCAAATTCTTCATAAAGAATGAAGTGAAAAGCTACTTCACCAAACAAAACAAACTGATTTTAAATATTTTCAAAGGAAATCTAAAACAAAAGGAGCAGATTGTATGTAATGCAGTGAAAGCAGCTACAGTGGCGGTCAAGAGTAAGAGTGGGGACGGCAACATGTGGTTCAGGTGCTTCACCAAAACACTAACAGATGAGCTGAAATTCACAGGTGACTCGTGTGTGGATCTCAGTGAAATTAAAGATTTGGATTTTCTTGAGAACTTTTTGAGTGACAGTCTAAAGGAAAAGATGACAAAGCTACAAGACGGCTTTAAAAGCACTGATGACATAAAAATGGAGAAATGCAGGAAGACACCAGATGAGCATTTGATTGAGCACTTCTGTCAGTGCTGTTGGGTTCAGTGTCCTTTCTGTAAAGCCATCTGCACCAACACAATGGAAGGCCATCCTGGAGATCACAGCGTTTCTTTCCACCGCAATACTGGACTGAATGGGTGGCATTACAGAAAAACAACAAACTTGTCTATTAGTATCTGTACAACAGCAGTAGCGAGTGATCGATCCTTTCACCCAAATTCCTCAGATAATAAAGTCCCCTGGAAAGAATACAGAAAAGCAGGTCGCAAATATGCTAACTGGAGCATCACCCCTGACCACTCTGAGCTGCCGTACTGGAAGTGGTTTGTGTGCAGATTCCAGAAAGATCTAGAAACATACTACAATAAAACATTCCAAGGAATGGGCGAGATTCCACATGAATGGAGACAGTACACAAAAAAGGAAGCTCTGGAGAGTTTGGATAAATACATGTAAAAAAAGTGGCCCAGATAATATTTTGACATCCTGTTCCACACAACAGTATTTCTGAACTGATACATGTACAGTACATTGTGCTTTTATAGTAGATGTTTAATGAAGAAGTTTATATTTAGTTTTTTTTCCAAATTTGTTATTAGAATTATTGCCTTTGTTGAGATTTAGTTTAGCATAGAACTGACAGGAAGTGAAGTGGGAGAGAAACAGGGGACATGATCAGGAAAGGTCCCCAAGGTGGGACTTGTTTGCCCAAAGTGCAACATGTCAGAGCACTGCCCACAACTCCAACTTTTCATTTAGAGCCATTATAATAATACTCATGCCTGGACTGAAATGTAATAGATAAATTATAAATTTACAGTCTAAATTGTATTTACAGTTTTTGTTATTGTTGTTAATTTTTTTTTATATATATGTACGTTTTGTAGCGTCTGGACCACTCAAACACACAATATATATTTTGTTAGCCAAATTTGTTATTAGAATTATTGCCTTTGTTGAGATTTAGTTTAGCATAGAACTGACAGGAAGTGAAGTGGGAGAGAAACAGGGGACATGATCAGGAAAGGTCCCCAAGGTGGGACTTGTTTGCCCAAAGTGCAACATGTCAGAGCACTCCCCACAACTCCAACTTTTCATTTAGAGCCATTATAATAATACTCATGCCTGGACTGAAATGTAATAGATAAATTATAAATTTACAGTCTAAATTGTATTTACAGTTTTTGTTATTGTTGTTAATTTTTTTTTTTATATGTACGTTTTGTAGCGTCTGGACCACTCAAACACACAATATATATTTTGTTAGCTAGATTTAACAAATACTCTGTAACACCCCAGGAAGCCGAACAGGCCCCTGGTTCCATAGCAACCCTGACACCAGATACATTTACGATCTAAAGGAATGTGAACAGAGAGACTCTCACTGCATTTTCCAGAGCAAGAGGCACAATGCACAGTAGAAATTGACTTTTCTACTAAGTAATTCATAGGAAAACCTTTCTTTGAATGAACAGTGTATCCTTCAGGTCATTGTGTATAATATTGTTGTGTATTTTGTCTTTGAGAGTGTATACTGTTTTATGCAGGCTTATGATCGAAACACTCACTCCTGTCAGCTTACATATATATAACCCTACCATGTTTTTGTAGAATTGTACAGTAAGAAAGTTATTTCCCTTAACCAGGAAATTAACGTTCTTAGAATTGACAAGACAGTTGACCCTGAGAGGTCAAGTAAATATCTACAGCGGATCTAAATATTCATAATTAATTATAACTAGTTATGATTAATTATTCATATTTCCTCATGAGCTGATTCGTTACAGTTTTCATACTGAACATAATTTTGCAAACAGGCATGTTGCTTGTCTTTTATCCTTCATCCACTGTGCATGAAAACCAAGAGTCAACAAGTAAAAACCTCAACTACATCTTAAGCTTGCCAGTGGTAAAGTGTTTAAATCTTTTGAAATACCATGATTCCCGAATTGTTAACCACTTTAATCTTTAGAATTTTGTACTCGGGGGTTATCACAAACATATAGTAGTTCTACATATTGTTTGTGTGATTGTGTAAATCTTAACTAAAGCTGATCTCTGAGTGAACGAAATGAAGTTTGATTTTGTGTTTAGTGTTTAACATCTATGCTGTACACATATGTAACAGGTGTATGTGATGATCTTAACGGTAAATAATAATGCGATATATTACACTTCCATATATTGGAAACTAGTGCTTGTATTTTTTAATATACAGCAATGTATGCATAGACAATATGATTTGATTTATGCATTTAGCAGACGCTTTTATCTAAAGCGACTTACAGTGCATTCAGGCTATACATTTTTTGCCAGTATGTGTGTTCCCTGGGAATCAAACCCACAACCTTTTGCGCTGCTAACGCAATGCGCTACCACTGAGCCACAGGAACAATATATGGCTATATATTGATATATACAAATATATTTAGAATCTAAGAAAAATAAATCTAATATTCATACCATTTGATTCTTTATTGAGTATATATCGCACATAGATGTTCCCATATAAATGTGAATGTATGCACACACATATATACACACATTCATGGAATGAGTTAAGCAGATTTCTAGTTCCCAGCATGCTTTGCTTCTCACTGTTAAAGGAGAGTAAAAATGTTCAAATTAAGTGTTATGTGTTTTTTCTCAATATTAATTTAGGGGGAGATCTGTTAGTGTTTATGTTAGTGATTATATGTTACTTCATTTAAAAAGTAATGGCTGTGCACTTTCCAGCACAGTGATTGTCTATTCACCGAGGGCTTTATTATGAGCAGGTGTGCTTATGCTATTGTATACTAGCTATATTTTAAAATATGAAACATATACATTGAAAATTATTGTTAAAAATAAGAAATAAGCCTATATATTTCCATATGTGTGTATGTGTGTTCAATATTTCTGTACACATGCAGTACCATATCTTATAACATGTTCATCTATATATTATAAAGTGCAGAACTGAATATAAAATTACATATATTGTTATATATAGGTAAATATATTGTCACATATTTTTCAATATATGAAAAACCTTCACATACTGTACATACATCACCTTCCTTATGTATTCATATTTACATAATATATCGTTCTGTATCATTTCTAATATATGTTATGTAATTTAATATATTGATCATTCATATATTGGCAAATATAATTTCTTTATGTAAGGGTACAAAGTGAATTATGTGCACATTCTAATGTTAGCTTTAGTGGCATCATACAACATAATGTCGACAGAGCATGCTAATTGGAAACAAATACACATTTCAATAAACTCTAAATAACAAAGAATCAGGTAGGCCTATGTTTGTATGCACTGTACCTGATATAGTGAGTGCATTGTTGTGTTTATTAAACATTACATTTATCCCTGATATCCCATATATGGCAACAAAAGTCGAGTATGTTGAAATACTGGATATTACTTTCTGCCATTTAACATTTTAATGGTAAAACATCTGTCAAATAATAATTAAAAAAATTGTTTTTTACCTCAATCTCTTTCACCGTTAAAACTGAGGTGTCGAGCAGGAATTCGCGCTCGGTTTCAGTTAAAAGTAAAGCCCGGCCTTTTTATGTGAATAGTTACATTATGTGAATAGTTTAATTAATTACGTACAGGTACGTTTCTGAAACTGGTGTGCAACTGTACTCAACAGCGGCCTCTCGTGACAGATTTCGACAAGCACAACAAAGACCGGAACGTATTCCGTTATCCCCCGGAAGTGGCGCATTCACTGATTGTCAACATACAAGATGGCGACCCATCACAGACAGAACGCTGCTGCACGAAGGAAAGTCCAGGTAATAATTTACAGATAATGTTTCGTTACTTTAAAACTATGCATATTACGTTTACATGTTTCGGGAAAGTGTCGTCAAATATATCGTCCATAATATTTAAGTACTTCACAGTACAAGAAGTACTGTGGTGTTACCATAATACAGTGATGATGTGTAACGCAGCGGCATTCAGTCATTTTTAAATGTGTCCAAATAATTTTTGGGGTACTGTTCAGGTATATGTTCATGCAATTAGTAATACTTTTTGGGCTACTGTACAGGTATATGTTCATGCAATTAATAATACTTTTTGGGCTATTGTACAGGTATTCAGTGCACAGCATTAATGAGTACACCCCCTCTAAAACTTAACAAATTCAGCAATTACTCTTAACTTAGAAGACATGTTAGGGTTCTTTGGAGATGTAATGTTCCAACAAGCCTGCTTGATCAATTACCAAAGAAGAATGCCAAAATTATTCAGCAAAATAAGATTTTCTTATCAAAGTGATACAATTTTGTGTTGCAAAAATGAGTACACTCTCCTGAAAGTTACTAAATAAAACCAAAAAAAAAATGTTTTTATAGGTTTAAGGCTATTTTTGATCAACAGGTAAGTATATTGAACCAAAACTTATAAAGACAAGTAATTTCCTGACAATTAAAAGTGTTATATACCCCACTGGCAGCAGTGGAACCACTTGGGAGAGAACTGCCAGGTGACTTATTTCTTAGCATAAAAGAGGACAATGGTACAAGAGGAATACCAAATTATTGTTTTAAGTGTGAAAATATAGCAGAAGTAGCACCAGCATTCAAAAACAATGGACTTGTGATAAGGCTCCTGAAATAATCATGTCTTCACTTTAAGTTTTCATTTAGTGATAAATGCATTTTTGTTAGAAAAAGAGCAGGAGAAATAACATGCAAGTGTCTCAGAGCCGGCAACTGAAGATGCTACCCTCCCCTCATTCCCTGCATTATTGGGCATTTTTTTAGCATGACAGTGAATATATTCATTCTCCTGAGGTGAAAATCCTTCACTGGACATGTATTTCACTCAATCTTAACACTCTTGAGCTGCTGTGGGGGATTCTGTAGAGACGATCTGAGCAACACTCCCCATTAAAGATCAGAGCATTTAAGGAGGTCGTCCTCCAGGAGTTAAACAGCACAGATGTGAAAATGTGTCATGAACTTGTACACTCAGTGCCAAGAAGGGTCAGAGCAGTATACTTTAAGTTCTGGAGGACATACTACGTACTAGAATATTATACATTTTCTGAATTAAATCTAGGGTGTACTCATTTCTGCAATCCTTCATTTAAACAAAATTGGCTAATTTACTTGTCTTACAGAAAATATTGGCATATATTTTGTTGTTTTTATTAAGTATATGTTTAATATGTTTAGATTTTGCCATCTTTCCATGAATTATATTAGTGGTCATTAAGAAAATACATCTTTAATATTTATTCAGAGGGGGTGTACTCATTTATGCTGTGCTCTGTATGTTCATGCAATTAAATTTGTTCTTTTAGTACAATTGTCTGCACGTTGATTGGATTCATTATATTAAAAACATTATATACAGATCTTTATATCTTTATTCTACTGTCTTTATATACAGATTTTGTGTTTGTACAGCATCAGAATCAATTGTTTATCACTTAATGACGGATTCACAAGACGCATCTAATCTAATATTATAATATAATTTTTCTATGAATTAATAGTAAATAGGTAGTTTGGTGGAATGTAGGTAGTCTTTGATGTTTAATAAACTGGAGTTATTAATAATGATGTGTGTACAGGTTTCCTATGTGATTAGAGATGAGGTGGAGAAGTACAATCGTAACGGTGTGAACGCTCTTCAGCTGGATCCTGCTCTCAACAGACTCTTCACAGCCGGCCGAGATTCCATCGTCAGGATATGGAGTGTCAATCAACACAAAGTACAACCTGCATTTTGCATGATTTATGAATATTAATGCACTTAATCCCTTGTTTTGTTACTGTGCGACCACACTTTCCACTTTGAGCAACAGTGTTAACTTTGTATCTCCCTCAAAGTAACAATTTATGCCAATTCTGTCTCTCTGTGGTTAAATGTTTCTGCTAAGTCCAACTAAGCTGTTTTCTATTGCAGCAGGATTCTTACATCGCTTCAATGGAGCATCACACGGACTGGGTGAATGACATCATCCTCTGTTGTAATGGAAAAACATGTACGTCTAAGCACCTCATATTCCTTTTACAGAAGCTTCATGCTCAGATCTCATCAAATCTATTCTGAGCTTTAGCCAGTTTGAGTGGATTGTTCTGTGTTGTAGTGATATCAGCCTCCTCGGACACCACTGTGAAAGTCTGGAATGCACACAAAGGGTTCTGCATGTCCACGTTACGGACGCATAAGGCACGTTTCTTATCATGGTTATCTTAGTTTTTTTGCTTTAATTTTGTTTAAAATCTTCATGCATAAGGGTTATTCTGATGGCAGTCTTGCATTGCCAGACATTAGACTATTGGCATACAATTTGGTCCATTTAACATCTCCAGGAATTTGCATAGAAAACAGATTAAAGCTTGAAATTGAGAAAGTTTGAGAAAGAAAATGATTATGAGACATGAAGTGATTGTCAATTGTGATTCACTCTTCAGGACTACGTCAAAGCTTTAGCATATGCAAAGGACAAGGAGCTGGTGGCATCAGCTGGGCTGGACAGGCAGATCTTCCTGTGGGATGTGAACACCCTGACAGCTCTGACCGCCTCCAATAATACAGTCACCAGTGAGTAAACTCTCTTAATCATTCTGTTTGACACCGTCTTCCTTCTGAGTCATTGCGTTAGGGTTGAAGCGTGTAATTAAGCAGATGATTATGAAAACCCATTTCAATGCAGTACTGCATTCAGTGTTACTTTATTATCGTTGAGATACTGTTAAAGGTTTTATTAGAAGTTGCAGTTTGTTTTTAGTTGTAGTTAAAGTTGTAGTTATTTTTTTGTCGTCCTGAGATTTTCATTAGTTCATGTTTATTTATACGTCTGTATAGTTTTTATACATTTTAAATTTGCTGTAGTGTTATGTTCCAATTTCCCAGTCTAGGATTGGGAGTAACAGGTTAACTAAAGCTTATAAAAAAGAAATAGGCCTAAACGAAAAATAAAACGTGGAGGATTCACGCCAGTCATCTGCCCCAGAAATGCAAGACAACCACTCGGTTTAGGCAAACCTAAGCAATTTATTTAAATCAGCAAGAATTGTGGAAGCAATAAATGTCTTCAGGAGAGGGCCTGGCCAAAACAACAAACAAAACAGCAGCTAACTAACAGGAGGAGTGCTAAATAACCTATCCAGGTAAAAGAAATCAACAACAAAAGCTTTCCTCGTCTCCCTCGCTAACCAAAAACAGGGATAAACAGTGAGTACAAAAATAAAATGGAACCCTCTCCCTACAGCTTCCAACTTAATCATAAAGCAAATAAACAAACAAAAAGCAGCAATACCTTTTTAATACCTTAACAAAGAAACTAAGTTAAAGTAGTCACACTACTGGCATAGTATCAGCACAACACTGCTGGGACAACAGGAATACACTATAACAATTAAGAGTTATTCAATGGAGAAATGTTCAAAGTTTGCACCACACTAAACAGACAAAGACTTAATAAGCAACACCCAACACAAGTCTGGAGCAGGGGAGAAGTGAACCTCACTCTGCATTTTCTGCTCTTTTGTGTGGTTTGTGTCTCTGCAGCACACTCTCTGATGAGCACCACCTGTGGGCAATTTGCTACTGCCAAGCAAGCAGAGAGAGAGAGAGAGTGCACATACACAGGGAAACATAACCACACCCAAAAGGGTGGGAAACACACTCAAAAATAAATATTAATATAATACATACATCATAGGGATGTAACAGTAGCTTTAGTTATTTCAGTACATCAAGTTAAACTGAAATAAAAATAAGTTTTTTTTATATATTTTTTTATTTCAGAATGTTATAGTTTTATATGTTAACTCTAATAAGACTGATTGCATCCATCATTTCTGTGACAGCTTCTTCACTGAGTGGAAACAAGGACTCTATCTACAGTCTGGCCATGAATCAGACAGGAACTGTGATCATCTCAGGATCTACAGAGAAGGTTAATCGTCAGTTTTTTTATTTCACTTTTCAAGTAAGGAAGTTTTTATGGTTTCATGTTTCAAGGAAGTAAAATCAATTTCAACTACAGATTGGTTACGGAAAATGTTTTGTAACTTTTTTTTTTTTTTTGGTCAGGTCTTAAGGGTCTGGGATCCACGAACTTGTGCTAAGCTAATGAAGCTGAAAGGCCACACTGACAACGTCAAATCATTATTGTTAAACAGAGACGGCACTCAGGTAAGACTTCAACACAGCTCCAGAGATAATTGCACATTTATTATGACATCACATCTGCATCACATCCTAAATTATGAGAAAATCAGTTTGGGGTCCGGACTGAGATGCATTCCAAAAAAATATTTTTTTAATATGAATGTGATTTGGATTAGGTTTGTACACATCTACAAAAACTAAACAGATTTGCATCAGATATAACATTTTTTTTTTAAAAACTAGATATTTTTCTGCCTGTCTGAGCACAGCCATAGTCACAAACACACATAGACTTTTAAGGTTTTCCATTTGGTACACATGTTAAACCTGCTTTGTTTCTCTGTCTAGTGTCTCTCCGGTAGTTCGGACGGTACGATACGCTTGTGGTCTCTTGGCCAGCAGCGATGCATCGCCACATACCGTGTCCACGATGAGGGTGTATGGGCGCTGCAGGTGAACGAGGCCTTCACGCACATCTACTCCGGGGGACGTGACCGAAAAATCTTCTGCACGGATCTGCGTAACCCTGACTTGCGTGTGCTCATATGTGAAGAGAAAGCTCCCATCCTGAAGGTGAGCTTGAGCTGCTTGGTGTTTGAAAATAGTAATGAAGTCATCATCAAATGTAATTGTTCAATACTTTAAGAAAACTGCTCTTACAGTGTATCTGCTGTTTTCTCTGTGCAGATGGAATTGGACAAATCAGCTGAACCTCCTCAAGCAATTTGGGTGTCCACAACTAAATCGTTTGTAAACAAATGGGTAAGTTACATTTCAGAGATTTCTATTCTTAAAGTAATAGTTCTGCCAAAACATTCAATCATTATGTACTCCTCATATCATTTCTTTTTTTGGCATTGAGCACAAATGGAGTTACCTTTGATATGTCCGCGCTGCTCTTTTCCTTTGATAGTGAATGAGGACAATGACTGTCAAGACATAAAAGTACTTTAAAAGTTCCCTTCCTTCTTTATATATTTTAATTTACATTTAGTCATTTAGCAGTCGGTTTTATCCAAAGTGACTTACAAATGAGGATATATTGTGTTGTGCTTCTGGCTGTATGCAATCAAAGAAGTTCTTGCATATACTGTGAGCAATCATAGCAGAATTTTTAGGTGAACTATCACTTTAAAATATGCATGCTATAATTCGACATTAGTTTATATATAATAATATGCTATTTGTTCATAAGGTCAGTACGTTTTTTTTTCTTTTGAGAAAAAAGTATACTTTTATTCAACAAGGATGCATTAAAATGATCAAAAATGTCAGGAAAGAAATTAATGAATCATTAAACATTGATAATAATAAGAAATGTTTCTTGAGCAGCAAATCAGCAAATTAGAATGATTTCTGAAGGATCATGTGACACTGTAGACTGGAGTAATGATGCTGAAAATTCAACTGCATCAAAGGAGTAAATTACATTTAAAATATATTCAAACAGGAAAAAAGTTTAAAAAAAAAACATTTTATAAAAAAATTAAGTTTTATTTATTTTATTGTATTTATTCATTTTTTTCTCAAATAAATGCAGCCTTGGTGACCATAAGACTTTAAAAAAAAATTAACAACCCCAAATTTTTGAATGGTAGTGTAAATCCGCAATTGAATTGAAATGCAAACAAAATCAAAACAAAATTGCAGTGTTTCTTCAGCTTATGTCTGTCTGTATTTGTTTATTTGTCATTGTCAGTCTCTAAATGGCATGCATAACTTCAGAGCATCTGGAGACTACGACAACGACTGCAGTGCCCCTTTAACTCCACTGTGTACACAGCCAGAGCAGGTCATCAAAGGTAAAAGACCATCTGTGTGTGCCAGAGCAGGCACCTGAGTGTCAGATCAGTGTTGCCTATTGGTTAAAACTCAGGGATGGTAACTGTAAGGTTGCTGGTTATATTACTGAGTGAGCCATGAGCAAAATATATAAGGAACTTGTTACTTTGGATCTGTTAAATGACTGATTTCTAATCTCACTTGATCAAAATGTGCTAAACTGATTTAATCTTTGACCGAGAGTTTGACTGAATTCAATTTCAGGAGGCACCAGCATTGTTCAGTGTCATATTCTCAATGACAAGAGGCACATACTCACTAAAGACTCCAATAACAGTGTGGCATTCTGTGATGTCCTCAAGGTAAGAGCAGATCACGAGAAGCTTTTGTGGCATCTTTAGGCCAAATGTTATTTAATCTCCCTCTGTGTTTTGTAGGCATGTAAGGGGGAAGACCTGGGTAAAGTGGACTTCGATGAAGAAATTAAAAAGAGGTTCAAGATGGTCTATGTGCCAAACTGGTTTTCTGTAGATCTCAAAACAGGGGTGAGTATTAGCATCTAGTTTTATAATGAGGGTGAAGATGAAAGATAATGAACGTTAAGTCTGTTCTTGCTGTTTTTCAGATGCTGACCATCACGCTGGATGAAAGTGATTGTTTTGCGGCATGGGTGGCAGCTAAAGATGCTGGTTTTACAAGCCCAGACGGCTCTGATCCAAAGTGTAATGCCTTCTTCTAAGTGCATGGTGGTTTAAGTTAGCAGAATATCTGATATTTGTGCTGCAAAAATGACATTCTTGAAGCAAAACAAAAATAGGGGCTAGACTATATGTTTGCTAATTATGGTCTTTTTTAAGTAACTTGTATGAAGAATTGTATGATTTGTTTAGTTTTTTTGAAAATCTATTTGGTGCCACTAGAGGTGCTGCAATTACACACTTCACCTTTACATCAAGCTAGAAATGCATTTAATTTAGCTTTTTTTTTTTTTACTTCAACCTTTTTGTTGTGAGGACATTTAGAACATTTAGAAAACAAGATGATGATACAGTGTGTGTATGTTTGTTTGTCATTCATATTCTGACATTACAATATTAGCTCAACAGTGAGAATTATGTAACAACTGTTCTTTGTGTTTATTTGTGTGTTTCAGTGAATCTGGGTGGGCTGCTCCTGCAGGCGCTGTTAGAGTTTTGGCCCAGAACTCATATAAACCCAGTGGAAGAGGAGGAAAGCGAACTCAACCATGGTAGACTTTTTTTTCTTTTTTTTTTGGCAAAGGAATATTTTAATAAAGGCAATAATAATAATAATTATTATTCAGGAATTATTTTCTGTTAATACTTTTCAGTAGTGAATCAATTTTTCTTGCCTGCTATTATAGTTAATCTTAGAGTATTTTTCAATGCATTCTGGGATTGCCTAATACACATGAATGCATGCAATTATTTATTAGTGGTTTCAGAGCTTTTTCTTTTTTTAAAGCATAATGGCTTTGTTTAAAGCATAGTTAGCTGTTTACTTCTCATGCAGCGATTCAGTAGAATTTGCCTTTATTCTAATAATTCTACTATTAAGATTTTTAGTAAGCAGGTATTTTCTATTAATACATTTCTCTAAGTTCTTTGCCATGTATACTGACATTTCCCTATCAAGAAAGAATGTGTGGAATTTTGTTTTGTGAAGCAAAGCCTGGTTTCTGAGCTAATGGAATTCATGGAAATCTGCGGTTGGTTTCTGACTTGATCATTTTCTGTGTGAATTTCTCTTTAGTGAACGGTGAACAGGAGAGTCGAATTCAAAAGGGCAACGGCTACTTCCAGGTTCCTCCACACACTCCTGTCATCTTCGGTGAAGCAGGAGGAAGAACATTGTTTAGGTCAGAATGACAGTGTCCAGTACTGATCAAGACATTACACTCATCTGACTTTCCTTCCTGTCTTCATTATAAGCCACATTTCTTTCCAATTCCAGGTTATTGTGCCGTGATTCTGGAGGAGAGACGGAGTCCATGTTACTGAATGAAACCGTACCTCAGTGGGTTATTGATATCACTGTAGTTGTGAGTGTTTCAAATCCCCCAATCATCCCATTATGTGTCCATCATATGTTTGTGATTGTATTATTGACTCTTTTCTTTTCTGCTACAGAAAAACATGCCAAAATTCAACAAGATCCCATTCTACCTCCAACCTCATTCATCATCTGGGGCCAAAACACTCAAAAAGTATGCTGGGTTTGTAAACGTGACAAAATGGAAAAGCAATCATTAATAAGGGCTATGCTTAGCTATTCACATTTTATGACACAAATGCAAATTGAAGTGTAAAACCAATACTTGGATGCAAATTTGCAACAACATTTTGGTGATTATTCATCACAATCGGTTGTTTTCAGGGACCGTCTGTCTGCTAGCGACATGCTACAGGTGCGGAAAGTGATGGAGCATGTTTACGAAAAGATCATCAACCTCGACACAGAGTCACAGACCACCAGCTCCTCAGTCAATGACAAACCGGGAGAGCAGGAGAAGGAGGAAGACGTGGCAGTGATAGCCGAAGAGAAGATTGAGCTCCTGTGTTTAGATCAGGTTAGACCTCCTATCGGACCTCCTTAACTGCTTCCAGACAAATGAAAATTACTAGAGACTCATCTCTCCAATGTACTTACTGTTTGCTGTTCAACATCTTATTTTCCTCAGATGCTGAAATGAATTTAAAAGAGGTGACCGTTATTTAGTTTTGGTTGGTTGTTGGTTGTTAAGCAACTGGGTGTTAACATTCACACAGCTTTTGTGACACCAGTAACCCTTAATAATAAGATTACAAGTGTCAAACATTGATTAACCCAGGGTTAAAGTTGCCTAGGTAAACGGTGTGAAAAGATACTCAAGTTAAAGTAAATCCTTCACTGCTATACTTTTTTTGGTGACTTTCTGCTACTTGAACATTATTTACATACTTATATTTTAATAATGCTGAATTGCACTAAATGTTTCAGGCAAGATCATATAATTTGCATTTTGTTCCTAATTAGTAAACAAACAAAATGAATTGTTAAGGTCCTTGCACATTTTCGTATGCATTCCTATCAAAATGCTTGCTACGGAAAATCGAACCTGGTCCGAATTTTATTATTGACACAACGTGAGGTCCTATTTATTTTTCAACGTGCAAAAATTTCGGACTAAAAATTCCGACTCATTGTGCAATGGCCTTTACACTGCGAAAAGCTTGTTTGTACTCTATTGTTAATGTTTTCTGCCGTTTGTAGGTTTTGGATCCAAACATAGACCTCAGGACTGTAAAGCATTTCATCTGGAAGAGCGGTGGAGACCTGACCCTTCATTATCGACAGAAATCCACGTGAGCCCCTCTGATCTCTATACAGACCCCAGTCACCTTCAACCCACATCGCTTTGACTTCCAGAAGAAGCGTCCCAGAATGCCCTGCTGTTCTCAGGTCTGATGGTCACCCAGGAGGAATGTTTATTCTCTTTGCATTGGCTTAAATGACAAAGCCAGCAGAAAGATCTGACCGACAGTTGAAGGTTAAAGACTGACTGCAGATTGATGCAGTTCTGTGAACTACGACTTCAATATTTGTCTGCCTTTATTGCCTGTTTGTTTGTTGATTTCTGTGGATCAGTGCACATGACAGTGTTGGCATCATCTTACCACAACTTCTGAGAAATATGGCCCTGCCCTTCTCAAATAACTGACATTAGGACTGACATTTTTTTGTGAATAAAAGTTGAAACTGTGCTTTCGCTGCTGATGTCTGAACATGAGTCAGAAGTTTTACAAATGTGGGATTTTTTCAATCTGAGCCATGAAAGATTAAATGGTAAAATACTATTCGTCAGTGTTAGTTTATTGCATTAGGGGTTATGAACTAACAATGATCAAGAACATTTCATCATTAGTATATTATTATTATTAGAAACTATTAACAGTATTTATTAGCATGTATTAAGTCATTTTTATTATTGTGCAATTATACATATTGTTCATAATACTTTAAATTATACAACTTGAGATGTACATGTAGACAATACCATCAAGTAAAAACTGATTAATAATCAACTTTGTCAAAATTGTTCATTGTTTGGTCATGATACTTAATACTATAGTTAACTGTACTTTAGTGTTACTGGAAAAATATTTTGATTTAAGAAAAATATATATTTTTTGTTTCTACATTTTTTTTTAGAGAGAATTAAGCATATGTACCTGACAATTCTGTAATGTGAAAAAAGTTAATTATTTCAATAATTTCAAAATACAAAAATACTATGCTAGTAGTGCTATATCTGAAATTAAGTCGTTTATGGAAAGGATGACTTTTATTGTGATGATTTGGGACCATGCTTAAAATATCACAATGCCAAAAAAAAGTATAGATGCAAGAGTTCACTCAGATTATCAGACTTCTGAAATGCACTTGTGTTGATGTGTGGCTTCCACTGCACAAAACAAATTCCAGAAAGCAGGCACAATTTATTTTTTAACTGGAAACACAAACATGTAAACGTGAAGACAAATGAAGCAAAACATTTCTTTCTCTCTGTATGTTTCTCTGACAATGATATGTGCATTTATGCTCCATTCAGTGATTTCCCAGAGACAAAAATTATCAGATTAAAAAAAAAACTTCTACCACAGCATGAATTATAAGAGAATCTTTGATTTTGCTCAAAGTATGTATGAATGCTTACAGATCTCATCCAGTTTTCACACTTAATACACAGTTTTCACACTCATATTTAAGTAATATTCTATATTAATATTCAACAAATATAAGAATGACAATATCAAACCAAACAAAAGTGCACAATGTTTTGCAATGCTCCAGCCTGTATGAACACCAGAGACTGAAATCATCGCAGGTTCATCTGTCTGAAATGGGTATTGAACTTTAGTGCAGATGTAATGTACTAAAACAAGACTCATTGTATCAGTCACATACTAAATACTGATTTACAAAACTTAAAAAAAACAAGTAGTCAGCTAGAATCGTCCCTTTCTGCTAAATAATAAAATGTTATGGTAATAACCAGTTATGAGTTACAATAAAGGAATGTGCTGTTACTGCATATCCTAATGCGACCTACTAGTTAAACACAGAACTATTAGTTACATTTCCAAATCAAAATGTAAAACTTTAAACTTCTGATCTTATGCTGAAACTATTACATTGCCTTTTTTAATAACTGCAATTTCAAGACTGAAAAAAAATACATTTTTCACCAAAAATATCTGTCAAGGTCTAAAAAGGGCAAAGAGATTATAATTTAGTCATTTTTGGGAAGTCATACTTTCATGGGTTTTTTTGTTGTTGTTGTCCTTTTCAGAGCTGAAATGCTATGAAAGCTGATTTCCACCAAGGGATAAAAACCCAAAGATGAGCCAAATCTTTTTATCTCACAATTCAGACTTTCATCCGACTCAGAATTGTGAAATAAAAAGTCGCAATTTTTTTTTCTTCCCCTATGCGGTAACAAGCTACCACAAACAGCAACTGATCAGCAAACTTATTTTCACTGTTAAAAAAAAACTCAAATGGAAATGAATCTATATATTGAATTATATTATCTTCCACTCTACTCGGTCTCTACACCACAGTCTATATGGGTTATGGTGTGAGCCTGCAGTGTGGACAGCTTCAGCTTCAGGCCTGAGTGCTTTCACTGAGCTGTTGGATGCGGTCTGCCAGCTGCAGACAGTGTAAGATCCTGCTCCTCTCCTCCTGGAGCTCCGCAGCAGACACTTCACCCTGCAGCTTCCGGCCGAACAGCACCAGATCCTGCATGAACAGCCCCACCGGCTCCCGCTGACCTGCAGGAAGCTCCGTGATGCTGGCGTCCTGGAAGCGAAGGTGTATGTGTTTGGCTCTGCCCAGTCCTGGACCCCGCTCTTCAATCCAAGTTAGAGGTCTGCATCAGAGAGAACTCTGATTAACTTGTCTGACACATGATCAAATTGGTGAACAAAAAAAACATATTCATTTATATATGTGAAAACTTAAAGAAAAATGGTGAGCGGTTTCACTTATAAGAATATACATTTTCTGAAAATGTTAACTATGAATCTTGGTGTTCATGGCAATGCTATTGTAAAGTTTTAAAAAATATATTTCAAAAATTTTAAATAAATGACATTTAAATAAAAACTAAAAACATTTGAAATGAATGAATGAGTGAATGAATGAAAGATGAAAAATTCCACAAACTTAAAATCTTGGTGTTTATAGCCGTGTTATTTTCAGCTATTCATTAAAAAATATAATACATTTAAATGAATGAATGAATAATAACAGGTGAAAAAAATCCCATAGATTTATGGCACTAAGCAACCATTTTTCTTCATAAAATGTGCGTTAATTGTTTTAAAATTCATGTCTCACTCTGCATGAGTATTTAACGTTTTATAACTTTAAATGGTAAGCATTAATCTGTATTTAATTTTTACAATGAAGACTACAGAAATTTAAGTAATCAAATGTAAAATAACACTGGATGTGTTATTTTACATTTGATTACTTTAATTTCTGTAGTATTTCTTAACTGAATAAAAACGTACTTAACCTGAAAAACTTAGTTTCACAGCTCTCTTTATTCTATTGCATTTATTTGTGCTGTTATTTGCGATTTTTTTTATTTGTTTTTATTTTATTACTGACTTTTTACTTTTAGCGTTTGTATATGCTGTCAATTATAGTTCTTAGAAAGAAAATCGGAATCGACAAAAATCGGTATCGGCAGATCACACTAACAAAAAATCGGAAATCGGAATCGGCCAAGAAAATTGCAATCGGTGCATCTCTAATTTAAAATTTTTTTTTCAATGTAAAAACAGCTGTCAGTGTACTGACTTCTGTTGTCGGGTCAGTAAGTGTGCTGTCATCTTCATGCATTTGTTCTCTTTCTCCTCCACCAGAGATGCTGCAGTAACTGTGAGCTCCCCGAAAAGATCAACCAACCAGGTCAGTCTGGCAATACCACTGAAAGACGGGAACCCAAAATTTGGCTTCAGGGATCCACCTGAGAAGACAAAAATCACCATCACTCCAAACCCTAGTGGAAGCCTCTAAAAAATATATTATTCAGTCACTACCTGTGAAGTGCAGCGTTCCCTCCTCCAGCGTTTTCCCAGCTATGTCTTTTTTCAGCTGTTTGAAATCCGGAGTGAAGAGTTCGATATGTTCTTCATGTAGCACCAGGCCTGAAGTTGCCATACAGAAGTTAAACATTCAACCATCCCGGAGGCAGAATCGTACTATTTAACTGCTTTATAATAACAAACATCTACCATTTCAAATATTAACTCCGGCATCCCCAGAAGACAGGACAGAAACTCACCCTTCTGCTGAGCCAGATTCCACAGATCCACTGCAGACGTGTAGCTGAGGGTCATGGGATACTCGACACACACGTGCTTCCCCGCCTCCAGAAACTGTCTGAGATCGAGCAGATCAGAGGAGAGACGATCGTTTTAAAGACAAGACACTCAAACGTGATCATTACTGGTCATGTGTGAGGAGGAAGTCTGTGTATCACCTGATGTACTCCTCATGGTTAGTGTTTTCAGTGCATATGAAGGCTGCATGGATGTCATCTCTGTTCAACGCCTCCGTCATAGAGATCTGCTTCACACCCTGCTGATCTTCAAGAGTCCTCCTAAACAAACACAAAACACCAGCAGAACTTTAGAGAGATTTAAGTATATACACTACCAGTCAAAAGTTTTTGAACAGTAAGATTTTTTTATGTTTTTTAAAGAAGTCTCTTCTGCTCACCAACCCTGCATTTATTTGATCCAAATAAGTACAGCAAAAACAGGAAAATGTTGAAATATTTGTCCTATTTAAAATAACTGTTGTCTATTTGAATATATTTTAAAATGTAATTTATTCCTGTGATTTCAAAGCTACATTTTTTTGCATCATTATCATCATAAATTATACATATATAGGCTATGCATCTTTTATTCTATTGTTATAACTATTTTTCTCTCTTCAGAAAATGAGGGGGTTATTCCACCAAATATTGATTTCTTAGCTCATATCATATCATGTCATATCAGTCAACCACTATTACTGATGGATGCATATATGTGACCCTGGAGCACAAAACCAGTCATAAGTAGCACATGTATATTTGTAGCAATAGCGAAAAAAACATTGTATGGGTCAAAATGACAGATTTTTCTTTTATGCCAAAAATCATTAGGATATTAAGTAAAGATTATGTTCCATGAAGATGTAAATTTCCTACCATAAATATATTAAAACTTATTTTTTTATTAGTAATATGCATTGCTAAGGACTTCATTTGGACAACTTTAAAGGCAATTTTCTCAGTATTTAGATTTTTTGGCACCCTCAGATTCCAGGTTTTCAAATAGTTGTATCTCAGACAAATATTGTCATACATCAATGGAAAGCTTATTTATTCAGCATTCAGATGATGTATAAATCTCAATTTCAAAAAATTGACGCTTATGACTGGTTTTGTGGTCCAGGGTCACATATGACGAACAAAATTTTCAATATAAGTTCAAATATCTCTTCTGCCATGCGTTTCGACATTGTACATTTATGTATGTTTATGGATTTCTACTGAAACTGCACACTAAGAACAGTACAGTAAATATTTGCCTTGTGATATGAAATGGCTACAGTCCACAGAGAGCTTATCTTATTTTCTGTGAGGTCAAAAGAATCCAACATGTAACATGTAACACATACTGGTAAAAAATGTATAGCCTGAATGCACAGTAAGTCGCTTTGGATAAAAGCGTCTGCTAAATGCATAAATTATTATTATTCAATTAAATTAAATTATATGTGCTTTAAGCCAATCAGGCTTAATTTGTCTAATAAATCAAGTGTCTGTATGAATGTTTGGAAGATGTGCACTGACCTGGACACAAAGCCTCTGATGCTGAACTTCTCAGCAGTGCTGCACGGCAGAGGAGCGAGCAAGTCTCTCATTCTCACACATCCTGCGATGCCTATACCAACAACCACTGATCCCAACATCATTCCTGCAGGAACACAACATGCACCAGCAGAAAATCAGCATTAATTACATGCGTAACAACTGAGTTTGTTCTGAACTTGATTTAAATGCTGTGTGGCATAATGTAAATGCAGCAGCTATGGAAAAGATCCACATCTACACTGTCCTTGCCCATAAGCATGATATTGAAACAAGTCAATACAAAGACACTATCATGAAAGAGCAGCACTTTTCTGAGAAACTGGTTTGAGAAGATGGCAGAAGGAACTGAAGTTCTTGGTGTGTCTGCATGTGTGTCTGTCTGATAAAGGCTTGTTTAAGCTGCAACTAGAGTCGCACTTAATTAAAAAAATAAGTTGATATTTGACTTGGACAACCAATGTGTTTTCTCTGAATATTGTATAAACAAATCCTCTAATTTATTGAGATGCACCTGTATTAGTTACCCATATACTGGCAAAATGGGAGACATAAGAAAAGAGGTTAAGCATTTTTTATTTGTGCAGTTACTCCTCTTCAGAAGAGCAAATAATTAATAACTACAAATGTATTAATTTGAAAATATAAAATGATCTTTTGATTCAAGTTAAACATCACAAACTGTCCTGTCATGATGGCAATGACAGCAGAATTGAAGGCAATAATTTATATCTAGAATTTACCAACGATACACACAAACACCAATGCGAACATGTTTTATTATGTTTACGATTATATTTATTTTCCCATTACATAATGAATGAAAAAAAATTATAGGAAAAAAAACACAAAGTTAATAAATAAATTATATATGCATCGATGTATATATCCATGCAACAACACTAAAGCGTCACTTTAACTAAATTCATCTGCTTAATAGAACGCGTAGAAAACGCGCAAATGTAAGATTACACAACGAGTAATGTCCATTCTTCTATATGCATAAGCACACGCGCAAGATCTCCTCACCTCTGAATGTAGCCTGCGCACAGAGGCTTCGGTGTGGATCTCTACAGCACCTGCGGGGAAATAAGAAGGCTGCATGACATTATCCCGCGTGACTGGAAACAACTTTCGTAACTCTTTTCATAACCCGCGTGCGTCTGACGTCACACGCTCCAGTCGCACGTGTTTCCGTTGTTGACCGATACAGACGATAAATAAAGAATGCTCAAGAGTTACTAACTTTACATTAATACTTCGCATTAACATCTTCATCGTTTCTTTAAATAAATCGCCGACTGAGTGTTTACAATGTGTTTCTTCAGATCATATTCATCGATGTGTGAATAAAGTTTTTCAAAGTAAAACGAACATGGCGGCTTCCTTAGCGCGCTGCTTTTAGTGTCAACAAATAAGTCCCTTTGGTTTTTGCTTATAAAAGAAATAATAGATGTGACGGTGAGTTGTTATTATTATAAACGAATAAGGGCTCAAATCTGTGAAATTAGGTGCATTTTGACAATAAACCTTGCTACAGTAGTCATCTTTAAGACGAATGCAGTGTTGTAAAATAAGTTTTATATATATATATATTTGTCAAATAAATGTACCATACTAAATGTATGTATTAACATGCTTTTTTAGAGAATGTCCCATGGTAGTAATGTCTTTCAAGGACGTTGGTGTACCATATAAATACCACGGGGTGTGTGTAAATACATAAAATACATGGGCACAATTTACATTTGTGTATAAAACTAATTTCAAGCACTGAAGCAGAAACTTTTAGATCTAAAGGTATTTTATAATCATGGGGAAAATGTATTTATATATTCAGTTTATATTATTTGGTCAGTTCAATTTTTTATATTACTGCCGTTTTTTTAGATTTTTCCTCCAGCCAAAAGATATTTGCTCCATCTGAAGTGAGGATGAGCCGCTCCACCAGCCTCCTGCAGCAGATGACCATATTTGTGACGGTAGTGACCGGCGGCGGCTGTGCTATGATGTATTACCTCATGCAGAGTAAGTCGGGGCTAATTAAAGCATCTGTTAGCTGTTCAACGTTGTGTGACTTTTGTTCCGTTTCTTTCAGAAAATTTTGCAAAATCGGAGCATTACCGTCTGGCCCTTGAACAGCTGAACAATAATTCCTCTGCCATGGCCAGTCTGGGCGCTCCTCCTCTGAAGATACACAACATCCATTTATCTGACCGACACAACCGCATTGACCACAGCAGCGCTCAGGTCAGCATCACCAATAAACCCTCCTCCATGAAATACATCAGAAATACTTGCTTTACTACTGGTCAGAAATATGTAAATCATAATATATATCAATTTCAGCTGAAGATCCCAGTTACCGGGTCAAAGACTGGAGGTTATCTCTACACTACTTCCACCAGAGACGCTATCATGAACAGGTACCATGATTTCAACTTTTTAAATAAATAAATGAACACACATTTTTATGTTGCATATATAATTTATTTAATCATCTTAACCTCTTTTGTCAATAGATGGCACCTCCAGCAAGTGTTCCTGAAGCTGAGGGAAGGCGAGATCATCGAGATTTTCAACAAGAGAAAATCTGAAGAGTAAATACACACAGAAACATTTCATCAATGTTAAACAGACAACAAATGCAAGTGGAGCCTTGGACAGTTAATAGATGATTGACAGCCTGTTTTTTTAAACTAATGTGATCATGGCAGTCACATATATTTGTCTACTTGAAATGTTAATATGTTTGTTTGGGGTGTATGGAAGCTGTGTCATGTGAAGCACTTTATTTTGGGGCAGCTTGGACCGATTTTGATGTGTTTAGTAATTTTTTGCTATTTTATGTGCTTCATTAAAGAACGATGATGTAAAAATCATACACTGTAATTTTGTTTTATCACCTTTGTATTACGTATGTCTTTATATACACATAGACACACACACATATATTCAATTATAAACAATTATATAACAAAGAGTGAAAAATTTAAGGGGGTCTGAATACTTTCCATACCCACTGTATATGCAGTAGTCATTTAAAGCAGGTCTGATCATTATTGTAGAAGCAGGGTCACATAAAAGAATAATAACCTAAATCTGTTTGACTTTCCACTTTAAAATGTGTATGAAACATGAATATTACAGTTCAATCCAGCTTGTAATACCAACACTGGGTTCTTTGGATCATCTGTTGTTCCATTGCATTGATTAGTATAGTAACATTGTAGTTACTAAACCTTACCAGTAGGTGTCAGTAAAATATTATTATTCTGTAACCCTTGAATTTTGAATAACTCAGATTTGAATAAATAAAAAAATCCAGTTTGATTTTGTGAAAGATGCAACCTATAGAGAAAACAAGTGCATTTTGATCAAGTGCTGTAAGTCATGTGATTAAGTTAGACTAGTCTTCATTAGTGAAGAGCTTTACAGACAACTTTGTGCCAGTTATTTAAATTTATCTTAAAATGTCCTTGTTCACAGGAAATAAAACTGCATTTTGCTTGAAGTATCATGGCTGTAAGTACAATTCAGTCATGTACTGAAAGATTTCTCTTGGTACTTCTGTCATCTTTTGACAAAATTAAACCAAGTTTAATTCATAATAACCATTAAGTGTCATAAATCTACATTCACAGGAGTGACTTCATCCACAGAAACATAGTGACCCAGTTTAGCCACATGGCTTGTAGTTTCTTCAGACTCCCACCACTTTTTTCCCAGTTTTTTTGGGTTTAAAGATTGAGGCCAGAAAACCATAAGAGCCCAAATAAAAATAATGTTTAAAACACTTAAAGCTATGATGATGATGATGATAATAATAATTAAATGAAAGGAGGATGAAAGGGTCCTCGCACCCGGGCTCACCGCCAACCCTTGGTTTTAGGAAAACAACAAACGGTGGGCAATATGCATTTAAAGTGGTAAACATAGGAGGAATATTTCAAAGTAATTTATATGTGCCAAACATCCTGCTTCCAGCTGGTGGCGCTATGATTATAACTGAATGTTGGCATGTAGATGTCCTCAGGCCAAGACTTTTATCAAACATGTGAAGTCTGGTGCAGATTGAACATGGTATGTTTGAGTTAGTGTAAAGCATGATATATCCTGTTGCCAACAGGTGGCGCTATGATTATAACTGAATATTGGCCTTAAGATGTGTTCAGGCCTGGACTCTTATCAAACGTGAAGTCTGGGGCAGATCGGACATTGCATGTTTAAGTTAGTGTGAAACAAGTCACTTCCTTTTAGCAGTAGGTGGTGCTATATCTATAACCGAATATGATCATGCAGATGTCTTCAGGCCAAGACTCTAATCAAACATGTGAAGTCTGGTGCAGATTGAACATGGTATGTTTGAGTTAGTGTAAAGCATGATATATCCTGTTGCCAACAGGTGGCGCTATGATTATAACTGAATATTGGCCTTAAGATGTGTTCAGGCCTGGACTCTTATCAAACGTGAAGTCTGGGGCAGATCGGACATTGCATGTTTAAGTTAGTGTGAAACAAGTCACTTCCTTTTAGCAGTAGGTGGTGCTATATCTATAACCGAATATGATCATGCAGATGTCTTCAGGCCAAGACTCTAATCAAACATGTGAAGTTTGAGGCAGATTGGACATTGTATGCATGAGTTACAACAACTTCCTGTTTGATGGCATTAAAAGCATGCTTTAGCACTTAATAAGTGTTGCTAGCATGTTTGAGGCATGTTTAGCACACAATGGCATATTTTACTGTATTGCTAACAGTGCATCACAGAGTTAAACACGTCACTTCCTGTTAACAGTAGGTGGCGTGGCGCTATGACTATAACTGAATCTTAGCATGTCGATGTGTTCAGGCCAGGACTCTCATCAAACATGTTAAGTTTCGGGCAGATTGGACACTGCATGCCTGAGTTACAGCAACTTCCTGTTTCATGGCGAAACATCGAATTTGTCAGGCCTTGACGAAAACTCAAGATCGTCGCAATTTAGCATCACAAAGGCCTTATGATTACACTCAGCATATTTTAAGATGATCCGATTTAAACTGTAGGAGGAGATCGTTAAAGTACAAGGCCCGAAAAATGGCAAAAACTGCAAAAGAAATCGAACAGAAAATTACAAATAACGCACTTCCTGTTGGGTTTCAGATTTTAAGCCAGTAGACTTTTATGTAGGTATTGGTGTCTTACATGTGTCTACCGAGTTTCGTACATGTAAGTAGCTCGAGGGGCACTTCGTTGAAATTTTATAGGTGGCGCTATCGAGCCATTTTGCCACACCCACTTCTGAAACCCATATTGGATATAATTTTTTTTTTTGCCAGTTCTGATGCGTGTGCAAAGTTTCATGAGTTTTGGAGCATGTTTAGGTCCTCAAAAATGCGATTTACTTTGGAGAAGAAGAAGAAGAAGAAATGGTTATTTCAATTCCATTAGGGTCCTTGCACCATCGGTGCTCTGGCCCTAATTATTATTATTAGTGCAATATTTCATTCAGTGTATCTATTAGTCTTAGTATGGAATAGTATATTACATTATATATAATCACAGTGCAGTATGTATAGATGACCTACTACCCTTACCAAAAAGTAGTATACTTCAAGTTTATTTTATTAAGTATACTTAAGTAAAGTTCAAGTATATTTTTAAGTATACTTTATGCAGCAAGTATACAAATATCAGTGTACTAGTAGTATACTTGTAAGTGTACTATTTCAATACTCCTTGGGACTAAATTGTCTCACTTTCTAGTATATAAAAGTATACTTTAAGTATAACAGTAGTAAACTTTGAGTGCACAACTAGTTTACAGCAATATTTTTAGCTTGTACTGCAACTATACTAAAAGTGAACTTATATGAATAATGATAGTTTTCTAATTAAATACTTGTAGTAGCATTTTTAGTACACTTTGAAGTATAGTCTTAGTAAACTACTAGTTTAGTAGTTTTATACTGCAAGTATACTCTTTTTTTTTTATGGAACTTTACATCATACTTTAAGTATACTACTATGTCCCTATTTAGGTATTAATTTGTATATATTTTGTCATATAAATATCTGAACATACAAAACACCAAAAGAAAGAACAGGGTATCTGCTTGTAAACAAAAACATTTTATTCTAGCTTCATGCATTCTTTTTTTAAACACTTGAATGTGGGAAAGTTTCATAAATAATAAAAAAAAGAAAGAAATAACATTTTGAACAAAAAAGCTGAAAAAAAGACTATGAATTGGATTCAGAACGATAATCAAAACGTAGATAGAGTCGATCAACACCCCAAAGCTTGACAGTCATTATTACCTCTTCATTGGTCGACATTACATCAACTTTACACAGTTTTGATGCTGTTTTATGTCTGATGATCGTGTTAGAATACATGTGGATGCATCTGTTGTTTCGGTTTCTTCTTCACTTGTATTTGTTGGAAATTCTGTACAGAAGATGTGTACTAGCGCGCCCTACAGTATAACAATGAAAACACGGATTCTATTAACACAAGCATAGTTCAAATATATTTAGACTTTTTCTAAGTAGGCTATAAGTCAAATATGTACATTTCTAAGTACATAAAAAGTAGACTAAAAGTATACATTCCTATTTTTTAGTTTAGAAAACTCCTTTTTAGTAAGGGTATATTTGCCAAAATCCACAGCTACAGTACACTGCGTAAAATATTGTATCCCACAATGCAATGCACTTAAATGGCTTTTCGTGTTTACACTGAAAAATTACTCAGAATACATATGTTGCACAAATAGAATGAGCAGTATGCTATTCTGAATTCAGCCATTGTATTTATAAGATGCAACAATGCATCATACTACAGTTTAAAACATTTATTGGTGGATACTGCATATTGATTATACACACAATCATTTTAGAGATAGTATGTGAAACAGTACGCAGTAGTGCAGTAGGCTAGTATAGAGTATGCTAGCATTCTGCTCTTCAGTTCTCTATGAATCTGTTTTGAATCTGACTAAACCTTGGTTCCAGACCGAGTTGGGTCTCAAAACCTTCAGAAATCCCACCTTTATCCCCCAAAACCACCCACTTCTGCTCCAGAAATATCCTCATATTCCACTGAGCTCTGGGGACCATCTGTCTTCACTTTCATCTGCCAAATACTTCCTCCAATCTGCTTTCATTTGATTTTGCAATATATTTTATATTACATCACAGTGTTTTAACCATTGAAATGTGTAATTCCTTCATTAAATGACATCATGTTTTTAATATTTTATTTATTTATTTTTTTGTAGATTATATGGTTGTAGAAAGATGTGCTGGCTTGTTTTGGCACATTTCGGATGGCTTGAGGTTTTCTTGAATATTACAGGAATAACAAAAGTATGAGAAGGGAGACTGTGAAGGTACTAAATTGGGTAAATTGAGGGATCGAGGGAAAGAAATTGCATAACATTTGCTAAAACACCATCATTTTTAATTTTTTTCCTCTTCAATGTGCAATATTTGTGAAATGCATTAAACAAGCGAAACCCCTTTTAATTAAATGCAATAGAGGCTATATGCAAATACTTGATTCTGTATACACATAGTAGGCTATAGATACATACACTTACATATTTTAATTGATAAATTAATTATACATAATTATTTTTGACGGGAATGAAACGAGGCTGTGAAGGACTTGAGTACAGGGCGTTAAATGGATTGTACTGTTGTATAACAACATGATTGTTGAGTTGACGAAACATATTTCTGAAAAACAAAAACCTTTCAGTAGACAAAATCTCCATAAAACAGTTTTAAAGTTGCGAGTTGTGAAAATTACATGAGCTAGGACCTTAAATGATGCGATTCAAAGCGTTTGAGAGAGGCGGGGCATAGAGGACCTACAATAATGTACAGTATTTGAAAAATAATGTGTTTTTTGAACATTAAAGCATGTCAACATATTCTGTTACACCAAATACACAAAATAATGATCTTTAAAAAAGCATCATATGACCCCTTTAAATTCAATGGCGTCTAACCTGCTCAAAGCGGCATTGGGACTCTCAGACTGTACTATCCATATAAACGTTAATATCTCATTTTACTAAGAAATAGTACAATTTTCCAGATTCAGCAAGATTTACAACCCCATCCGATGGATCAAGAGTCAGCTTGTGCATTAGAAAGTGATTGTTTATTGACATTCGTTAACAGTGTTATGCTGTAGTTACAGAGCTCAGCCTGAGAGAGACGCTATAAGTGTCCTCAATACACAATTCAAAACATTTGTACATTTCCCGCTTTTATTCTCTTCCATACACATAGATTAAAGTGTAAAAAGACCCAAGCAGGCCTTGTGTCCGAGGTGGAAGCAGGAGCCAAACCCTTCTGCATTTCCCAGAATGCCATGTTTATAGAGAGGCAGTATGTTCCAGAACCTTCTCCTCATTTCTCTCACATTGTCAAATGGCTGCGAGTGTCTTGACAAATGAAGAAACGTCCTCCACAAGCGCCAAAGAGTAGCATTTCTTACAATTCCAACCAAATATGCATAGTAATATACATTTGAGAAAACTAACATTATGCAAATAGTAAGTATGAAGACATGTACAAAAAAAAAAAGATGAATTGTTGGCTGTTGAATGGATTCATCACATTTTAAAATTGAGATTTTACACAGACTGCTCAAGCAAGTATGCACACATGTGATATACAGACATTTTATGATTTCTTAATTGGGATAAATAATACAAATTCACTTTCTACATTCCTTAAGCTGAGTGTTGTTCATTTTGAGCTGCAATTGTTTTTGAGCAGAATTACATTTCAGACACAATCAAAAGCCTGATTGCTTGTTCTTCATCCACCACCACATTAAAAAGACAGTTCACCCAAAAATGAAAACTTCAGGAAAACATAATAATTGAATCTGTATGACTTTCCCATTCTTCTGCATATTCAAACAAAGCTTTTTTGGGGGTGAACGTTCCCATTTAGAAAATATTAGGAGACAATAGTAAAAGACCGATTCATCAAGTGTGGATTAGACAGAAACACATGCACCTTTAAATGGCATATGTGAAGACAATTTATGAGCATCTTAAATGTATAATACACACATTCACATCATCTTAAAATGTAAACATGAGCAATAATCAAAACTTCAGCACAGCAATCGAATCTAGTCGTCAATAAACCAACCACAGAACGAACAACTGACATTTCAAAGAAACCTGTCCTGACATTTAAACCAATTTCCTTTATGAATAAATAAATGACTCACTGCTCTTCAAATACACAAACAGCTCAAACGCTCTGAAGAACATGACGTGTGGTGCACAATTTTTACTATTTGGTCTGTCATTTCTTTCAATCCCCTCACCAATTTAAGCCATAAAATGACATCATATAAATAGAAAAGCAAACACACATTTCATAAACATTAGGGAAAGCCAGTGCATATTATGGCATCCGTCAATTTTAAGCAAGACAGTGAGAGATGGCGATGCGACAAAGTTTAGACAAACGTTTGAACTTTATGCAAATGAGCAACAAATGTGATGCAGCAACTGCCAATGGGAGCGCAGACAGTAACACCCATGATCTGATTTTGAAAACTGAAATAAATAAATAAAAACAAAGTATCATTCCATTGTAACACTAAAAATTGACATGCTCAAGGAAACTGCAGTAGTGTGTAAAGAATTACATGAAACTGCTCATTATGAGCATTTACTTCCGAGATGTCTTCATTCCCATTGGCAGTGCATTGCATTACTCATTTACATAAAGTACACGCCCACATCGTATCATCACTGGTTGTTGTTGCTCCTGTTGGCTCAAATCACTATAAATCGCCGTTACCATGAATGCACCTTTACACAGTGTCTTATCTAAACGCAACGAACAAGACATTTTCAGTTCTTTGTTTTTATGTGTTGTTACGCTGGATGGCTCCGCCCCCAGAGTGCAATCTCATCGGTTTAAACATGAAATATATTCTGATTGGATTTGTTGTGTTTCGCCATTTTAGTAAACCTCATATGTTGGGTTTTTAAACCCAAATACATCAATTCATTGAAATTCATTCAAACATTTCAGACAAGACAGCATGAAGCCTTAAACATCCTTAAACATGTCTGATGCTTTAATGATTTTAATATTTAAATGTATTGATTAGTACAAATGAATACATCAAAAGTGTCAAATCAAGGCTCAGGCTTGCCATTTCCCCCTTTTGACTCCTGCGAAGTGACGTCACTTCCTGTGATGATGCCGTGTTCGGTGAGATTATGTGAACTAGTGCACACATTTACAGTAATTACGGCACCTCGATCAGATATTTTCTGTGAGCATATTTGGTTTTAACGTTACAATTCTTGTTCAATGTGAAAATGCACCAACAGAAAGGATGCTGGCCCTTACGGTTTGCGGTGAAATGATGATGTGTGAACTGAGAGCGACTCCAGAGGAGGTCGAGGTCCTGAGTGTTAAAAGCAGGTTGAAGGCTTCTCTTTCACTATTGCATACCCGTTACACACTGTCCACCTGCGCAGGTGACTGATGCATGCAGTGGTGTCCTGAACAAACCAAAGAAACGGACACAGGACACGATCCGCGCTAGTAGTAGATAATTACATACGGTGTACATGGAAAGGTCACCGGGAGGAAGGTGCTTTATCCGTCAAGTCCTCACTCAAGGCCAAAAGTGCTGGTCTCTTCCACAGCAATCAGCAGTTTCTCGTACAACATGGTGTAGGATGGATACGGTGGAAGATCCAGACGGTTAAAGCATGTGTGCGCCCTGAGAAAGCAGACATGACACATCAGCAGCCTGACTGACAGCCTCATAAAAAAAGTTTCTATTATTAATGTCTTAATCTTTGATGACGCTTTTTAATATGTTGTTATAAGTCCATAACAGTGTAAAACATGTTAATCTTTATCTTAAATAATATTTTTTTTAAACTATTAAATTTTAATTATATCTATTATTAATTTTAAATTATATGAATAAATTCTACTCATTTTTAATTATTTATATTCTTAATTATTATATAAAAATATTATATATATGGTTTATTATATATTATTAATTTTAAGTTATTTAAATTATTATTTAATGTTCATTTTAAATAAACAATATGATTTAAAATTAACAATAAATGATAATATAAATAATTTAAAACTAATTATCAATATTACTAAAAATGTTCATGTTAATTTTAAACGTTTTATATTAATTACTGTTCATTTTAGAATTATTTATATTGTTAATTTTGATTTGTTAGAGTTTGCACTAATGCTTAAACATGGAAAACAAAATTTTATATGAAAAAAAAAGCAAAATTTTTCAGACTCTTGACAAATGCATAAAAAAAGTGCAAGTCAAACCATTTCAAAGTAAAATAACTCTGGAATATATTATAAAAATAAAATAGCAAGAGCAATATATATTTTATATCTTTTACACATTTTTGTTGCCTATTTAAATTCTTTTTTTCATGACTGAAAATTCAAAGGACAGGTTTATCATTTTGATAATTTTTCATATCTTATTTCATTTGGACGGAAATTAAAAAAAAAAAATCATAAAATGAAAGTAAAATGATTTGCAGACGCTATTTATCTTAATATTGCAGAAGGAGTTTGGAAGAAACATTTGTAGAGCAATCTAATGCTTGCATTCCTTAGAGGGCCTGTATCTGTCATTATTGATATTCTCTGAATTCATGTTAAACATTTCCCACACCAGCTCAAATCAACATCAGAATTGTGAAAGATGAAAGAGTGTGTCACCGTACCTCGGGAGCGATGTGATCTTGCCCCATTTCTCGATGCAGAAGCGTCGCAGGCCGTTGCTCCCGCGCAGCGCGGTGAAGCCCTCGTACGGCACGCTGGAGGTGCCCGTCACAAACTGCAGCAGACGCAGTCTCTGTTCATTATTGAAGCGTTCCACCGCACCCCAGAACCACCGGATCACAATATGCCCATCATGATAACCTGACGACAACCAGGAGAGATTTCAAATACAACTAGAATTTTTCACTTTTTCCATAGAAGCATCTCTGACAGCACTGAAAATCACTGACCCGCTTATTCATTCACTGAAATGTAGGAAATTATATGATGAAATGACAATGCAATATAATGAGAAAATGAATCATGATACAATATATACTTGTATCTTTCAACATATGGATTTTATTGGCATGGCCATAATATCAAGTGTCTTTATGTTGTATGTATTTTTGTACTGGTGTGTATGTAGGTTTAAGTATGTCCTCTCACCTCCTCTGTACTCTGTGTTGTTTCTCCAGTCATTTAAATCAATCTCTGCTGTTCCTGCAATAACCAGCTCCAGCTCTCTGGCATCAAACACAGACACCAGACGGGAGTCCACCACCTACACACACACACACACACACACACAGAGGTCAGAGGTTAAATGAAGGCTACTTGGACAGCACTTAACAGTAAACGGGAAGAGAGTAAATCAGATGAGAAGCATGTTTACCTCGTAAAAGCCCCGGACCAGAGCCTGCGTCTGCTGGACGACACCGCGCTCCACCCTCCACTTCACCATCCGCTCGATATACTCCTTCTTATTCTTCTCTGTCACCTGCAAGTTTGTCCCGCCAGACTTCAGCTCCCGCTCAGTCACCTGACGTAAAGATATTTTTTGATGAATTCACTCTACTTTCCCTAATTTTTATAAACCACAGGAATCTTTAGGCAGCTGTTTATTTAGGGATATGCCGGTATCAAATTTTCATGTTGCGATTAATTGCTAATGCTTTTATCATGGAATGCGGTATTATCACGATATTGAAATTTAGTAAAAAAAAAGTGCTTTCATAATACAGTATAACAGGTTTAATAACTTTTTTCTTATAACAAAAATAACTGAACATTTAAATGCAATAAAGCAATACAGAACAATGTATAAAGTTAAAAGTTTTACACAGATTAAAGTGCAAAAGAACTATAAAGACCAATAGGCATCACTTTACAATAAGACCTCATTAGTTAACCTTAGTTAATGCATTAACATTCACAACGAGCAATAGCTACATTTGCTACAGAAGTTATTAATCTTTGTTTAAAATATACAAGTCTTAGTTCATGTTAGCTCATTAAATAACACAGTTGCAACTTTCGATTTGAACTATGTGTTATTAAATATTGGAATACCTAAGATTAATGAATGTTCAGAAGAATTTTTCATTGGCAGTTTATGTTAACTAATGAATTAACTAATGTTAACTAATGAAGCCATAATGTAAAGTCTGACCGAACAATAAAGAATCAAAACATTTTCAAACAATATCTAGGCACTGTAAAAAAATTCTGTAGTTTTTACAAAATAATTTTGGCAGCTGTGGTTGCCAGAATAATTTTGTAAAAAATACAGAAAAACTGTAAACACATTTACGGCCAAAAACTGCCAATTTTACAGTATAAAACTGTAATTTACAAACAAGAAAATTTGAATGTAAACCAGTAAATTCAACAATGCACTCTGCTATTGAAATCAGTTTTGTACCTTGAACATACTGACAAGCACCATAATAATGCAGGTGGTAAAAGAGAAAGCCACATGAAGAATCAAAGCTCACCACAAGTAGCTTCACCACAAGCAGAAGTATATACTAATATATAGAAGGTGCACAGAGTCATTCACGCAGACACAAAACACCATCATGGTAACACACATGATACTTAAATAATGCATTCAACTTTCATTAAACAACAGAAGATGTAACATAAAGCACAAATATACATAACTAATAACAAAAACTATTAAAAAAAACATGATTATTTAAACAAAAAAATATTTAAGTATTTGGCTCTGTGATGAACATCATAGCAAATACACAAATCTGAATGGCTGTTTAAATCACTTAAACACGATTCAGAAACAGAAAGTAGTGCAGCTGCTTTGTTTACAGGGTTTCCGGGGTAACGGCAGCATTTAAATGAATTATTATATTAATAATAATATAATATATTATGATATATTATATCATCTGCTGTCAGAGAGTGAAAGTGCGCTTTCATCCAGTGCGTCTCTTGCATGTTCCGCCATGTGCTTCTCGTCCACGCTTGTTTACATCAGAGTGCGCACGTGTCTTTCATCCAGCATACAGTGGTGTTGTGCATTTTGACCAGTTGATGGGAAAAGTATTCTTAAAATGCATTCAAAATTCGGAATAA